ACAAGCCAGACCCACACTGTCAATGTTATATTCTCTAGTTATAGGGAATGTTCAATAAAGCCACAAATGTAGGTTGATAAAGAGGTGGCCAAGCAGTAGAAGGTATCTTGAGCGTCAGTATTTCCTGCTTGCAGTTTTCTTGTGTCTGCTAGTTACGGTTAGGTTTAGTCTGCTATGCATAATTGTCATCTTAAAATGGAATGTTGCTATGACATTTAATGTTATGATTTGATGTATACTTATTTGGATTCCATAATTAGCTGTTGGGTCCTTATCAGCACCAAGTTGCTACTCTTCAAATAAAAAAGTTGTCTTACTTCCTTTATCATTTCATTTCCATAAAACTTTCTAGTCTGATTAATGGCTATGATACAGTTTGGGGTCTCTAGGGACTGTAAACAGTTCAGAGTGTTTAGCTAATAACTCCCAGAACATCCTGGTATTCTCCTCTCCTTGATGTACAATCACCCTGAAAAGTGCCTGCAGATTCCACCGGGAAAGGTGTGACGGAAGATTCAGAGCATAGGCCAGTGGTTCCAGGTACTACCTGAGAGACCATGTCTTTCCCTCATTTGTGTAAGAAGTTAAGAAACCCCACAAAAACAACTCGAATTATGGTTTTCAGCAGACCCAGCCTATGTGGAGAGGGTCACCTTCCAGGAACCTTCGGAGAAGGGACACAGTCAGCATCTGGTGACACAGTAGGAAACAAGCTGGGATTAGTTTCCTGACCACATGTCCACCACTGATTTCCAGAGGATAAGGGGGAACCTTTGGTGTGGTCCATATTGGTTTGATTTCCCAGGACACAAAACAAGGTGAAGAAAGGTGGAGAATGATTCAATGGGAAGATGGGGCGATACCTGGCAAGTGAGTGAGAGTCATGTTAGTACTCACTGGTAATTGTGCCTGCAGCGAGAATGGGTATACTTATTCAGCTTTATTGAAATTGTTAGGAGGTAAAGGACATATTGTTCTGGAGGGCTAATTCCATCAGGACTGGGATTTGCTTGAGCTGCAGTCCTGAAATAAGAAAGGCACCTGCATGGTACTGACTTGTGGTAAAGTAGGAAACATACTAGGTGTGTTATTTAATAACAAGAATCTGAGGAGTTTTGGGTGATTTGTACCAGTCTGTCAGTTTTGTTTATTGATAACAGCAAGACTGATAATTTGTAAGTGGTCTTGGTGAACCTCTCCACTGAGTTTTGCAGCTGAGGTTGGCTACATTGCAAGAATGTGCTTACAAAACCAGCAGTGTGTGAGGATCCTAGGTTAAGATTCCATATGCTATTCTGATTCGAAAATATTTTGTGCACACATCAGTGGTTTCTGATCCAAAAGAAATGCATATTCCCAGGGCTCATATAAAGAGGGAGGAAAGCTGGAACTCATGCCACACTTTCCAGACCACTCGTTATGACACAGATTTTCAGCTATGATGTATATCCTTAATTCTGTTGCTATAATGCATTCTTTTCCCCCTTCACTAAACTGTAGATTTGACATGAGTCTTCTTAACAATGGAACTGGTTAGCTGTTGTTGGTATCACGCATCTGAGAAACCATACTATGTACACACTCATAGTACACCATACTATCACATGCCTTCCATTTGCCTTTGTTTATAGACATGATTTGTTCTTGACACAATTTCAGGTTCTCTTCAGCAGATACAGAAATCATTTTCTTTATTGATTCTCATTCCCAAAATATATTTTATATCTTAGAAAGGACTTCATACAGATGAACAACAGGCACATGAAAAGATGTTCAACATCACTTATCATCAGGAAAAAATGCAAATCAAAAACCACATTGACATACTACCTCACTCCAGTGAGAATGACCCATATCCAAAAAACAGAAAGAAAAAAATGTTGAGGGTATGAAGAAGAAGGAATCTTCATATACTGTTGGAGTGAATGTAGACTGGTCCAGCCCCTGTGGAAAACATTATGGAGCTTCCTCAGTATATTAAAAATAGATTTACCATTTGATCTAGAAATTCCACTCTTAGGTTTCTACCCAAAGAATGCAAAATCCCTAATTAAAAGGGATATATGCACTCTTATGTTCATTATAGCACTATTTATAATAGCAAAAGACAGAGCAGTGGATTAAGAACTTTTGTTATGGTAGACAACATGAATGGAACTGCAGAATATTATGCTAAGTAAAGTAAGTCAGAAAGAGAAAGACAAACACTGGATGATTTCACTTCTTTGTGGAATATAGAGAAACAAAACAAAGAAACGTACAAAAGGAAAAGAAAACAAACCCTAGACCTATGACTGCATATTTGAGGCTTTAGAGGGGGAGAAAAAGTAGGGATGGGAACAAAGGGGAGAGAAAGTGCCAGTGGTCTGTGGTAGGGGACTCTGGGTACCTTAATGGAGGGCATGGTGTGGTGAAATACATCTGAGGAGGTGTGAACCTATTCCCCTAAATAATATGCAGTGCTTTAAGGTAATGTTACTGCAATTTAAAAAAAAAAAAAAAGCAGGAAAGGACTCCTCCCCCAGAGTAAACACAGCAACTCTTTTCTTCCACTTACCTTATGGTTGACATTTAATATGACTGAAATCACAATCAAGAAAGATAAACTCATGTCATCTTCAGCAACATGGATAGAGCTGGAAGGGATTATGCTAAGCAAAATAGTTATGCTAAGTCAGGAGAAAGAAAAATATTGGATGATTTCACTTATAGGAGGAATATAGAGAAACCCAACAAAGAGTCAGGAAAAAAGACAAAACTTGCAGGCAAACTATAGATCTGAGGCATCCAGCAGGGGAGGATTAAGTAGAGGGGTCAAAACAGGGAAGGGAAGAGCACAAAGGATATGGCGGTGGTTTCGGATGACCTGGTGGTGGGAATTCTGTGGAGATGACACCTGAGGGGAGAATCAAATATTGTACAAAAATGAACAATGATGTTAGAAAAAAATAAAGCCACAATGCTAAAAAATAATATGACTGAGATCATAATTAATATGTCAGTGACCATTATTAGTATGGATCAGATTCACCTAGGAATCTTGTTAAAAATGGAGATTCCTGTCAGAAAATCCAGTCCACAGATATTTATGTAAAATGGGAATGATCTGGGACAAGAAATCCTAACTCAGCTATTATTTTTACAAATGTATTAAGAACCTATTATTTAGCAGGCATTGTGGTAGGCATTAGAAGAACCAAGATACGAAGGACAAGTTGTGCTTTGAGAGGTAAAGTCCAATGCAGCATTTCTCAATTAAAAAAAAAAATAAACAAACCTTTAGTTCACCATCAGAATTGTTTTTCATCACACTCAGAGTGTACAAACATATATATATTATATACAAATTTCACAAAACAACACTTACCCTACCTACCTGTAATACACTCTGATGTTTACCATTGAGTATTTGGTTTTAACCAATTGTATTCTATCTTAATTAATTTTTTAAAAAGTGCAGGTCTTTACTTACTGAGTTTGTTTTACACTCTACTAATAAAAGGAGTGCGGGACTAAAGTTTATCAGATAGGTCTATTGATAATCTGTCATGTACATCTTATGTAGCACATGATTTATCCTTCTAGGCATATATTTCATGTGAAGGTGGGAGTGGGGAGGCTAAGGAGATCTCTCTTATAAACTGATGCTTCCCAAACTTTAATGCACATGGGAATCAACTGTAGAGCATATTAAACTGAAGAGTCTGATTCAGCAGGTCTGGGGGAGGTGTAGCTGAGATTCTGCATGTCTAACTATCAGGTGATACCAAAGTTATTGGGTTCATGGCCACTATTTGAGTAGCAATGTTCTAAAACCGCAAGTGTGGATAGGAATGCTAAACTTGTAAAGTAGGATCCACTAGGAGTTTCCTAGGAAACAATTTCCTCGAAGGAAAGAGGAAGCAAATGGACCAGGCACTGGCAGATGAGGACACCTTTGAATGCTACTCAAATGTTATGCCAGCGTCCCACGTCTGCATCTGGTGGAGAGGATAGACTGTATGCAAAAACACACTGACAAAGCAACAAATAAAATAAAAATCTGAAATCCATAATGGGGTGAAGCATCATTGAGATGTTACCCACTTGGGTACGTATAATCTGAAGTAAGGGAAAGGATTTTATCTACACTTCCTTAGGTGGGTGGCCCGTGTTCTGGCTCACTGGGTTCTCCGGGAAAATCATTCCAGCTTCGTCACCTGGAGGATCCCACCCATCAGCAGCAGTCGGGGCTCATAGGCCGCAGGACTCATGAGAAGTAGCACAGTGCCCAGCAGACATGGCAGTACCCACGGGAATGGCACCCACCTTTGGATTCCTGGACTTATTCCTGGGCACCGGTGAGATGTACCTTAACCCTCTTCTAAGTTTCTGATGGGTCCTGGTCCTGCTAATGTGGAGGGGAAAGGAGAAGCCAGATCAACACAGTTCACATACTCAGAACCTCATCTAATCCCCTCTGTGAGGCAAGTATCTCCCCACTTCAAGACAAGACTGTTCTTTACAGAAATGGACCTATTCTAACCACCAGGTAGATTCCTCCAGACATGTGCCCCAGGCGTAATGTGAGTTAAGTTCATTTTTAAGTTCTGACAAGGATTATAACTGACTCCACTGACTTTATAAAATCCACTAAATAGTTTTTGAATGTGTTCTCCTCTTTTATATTTTATTTCTTTATAAGAAAAGTAATCTGTGTTCATTTGGAAAAAATAAACCAACGAGTAGAAGGAAAAGAATGAAAATAAATCGCTCACATACTCATAACTAAAAAAACCACTGATAACCTTTCAGTCAACAAAATTTTCTATCTCCCCTGTGCATAGGCATGCTATATAAATCTGTTTTTACAAAAGTGGACTGATTCTGTATGTTATAAACTGCTTTATTTTTCCAAGAATCATGACTTCTTGCAATGCACATGTGTAAAAACCCTATTGCTAAGACAGAGCCCTCTAGTTGGGCCAAAGGGCTAGTGATAAGAAGAGGGACATCTAAAGCAAAGGACTAGCATAAGGTTCAAAGCACAGGGCCTGGCAAATGCCAACCAGGGGCACTACACGAAAGGAATGTCTTCAAAGCCCCTTTGCGGGGCCCGGCAGCCACCCCTGAGTTCCCTGGGGCCCCTGGGGTAGAAGGGGTCCTGTAAACTTTTTTGCATCCACATAAACCCCCCCAATTTCTGTCTGGTTTTCTTCACCTCATCCTCCACCCTAGCCATCTCGTCAAATTCTCTGATCATCTCCTCATTGCTCAAATGCATGTCGTGTATGGCCTCCTTGTGTTCCTTCAGGCACTGAGCTAGCCCCTTGGTGGTTTTCCTTTTGGCTTTCCTGGGGATGTCACCCTCAGCCGGGCGCTTGCCTACAGCCCTGGCTTTGCTGGCTGCCTTTCCCTCTTCCTTTGGATTGTCCTCACTGTCGGGCTCCTCCTCACTCTCTGGCTTTCCTTCTTCCTTTGGTTTTCCCTGGCTCCCTGGCTCTCCCTGGCTCCCTGGCTCTCCCTGGCTCCCTGGCTCTCCCAGGCTCTCTGTCTTATACCCTTCTCTTGGCTTTCCCTGCATGGCTGGCTTGCCTTCTTTTGGCGCTGCCTCGCTCTCTAGCTTTCCCTCAGCCTCTAGCATTGCCTCAGCTTCTGTCTTTCCCTCATTTTCTAACTTTTTCTTGTCTTCCAGAGTACACGCTACTTCCGGCCTTCCTGCAACCCCGGGGCTGTTCTTCATTTCCCATCTTTCCTTCGCTCTCAGGCTTCCCTTCATTTTCAGTGCAGAGCTTTTCCATGCTGAGATTTCCCCTCCTGTTCCTGTCATGGGGGTGGGGATTGGGGGGGATTGGGGGGAAAGGAGGAGACAAGGGAGACTGAGGGCTTGGGGGTGGAATGCAGGGACCCACAGCAATCTCCTCTCTCCCCTGTCAGGGTTCCCTGGCCTGGCCTGGCCTGGCCCTCCAAGTGTGCCTCTGCCCACCCCAGACCCCACCATTCTTCCCACACGTGAGCCAACCCTCCCCTGGCAGGCCCTGCAGCTTCTGGACCACCCTTCTGCGTGGTGGGACTGTGTGGTTTGGGGGATGGGCAGTGAGGCCCTGTAGTTCTGCCCAAGCCTTGCCCTCCCCACTCCCCCCTCCCCGCCTCTGCCCAGTGACCCCACCCCCTGCACTGACCTGCAGGGACTCTGGACAGGTTGCTAGTCCTTCTAGCCTTGCAGAGTGCTGGAACAGGCAGGCAGACCTACGGGAGACAGGGGGCAGGGGCTGTGTCCTCGGAGAACTGGGGTCCCTTCTCTGAACCCGGTGCTCTTCAGCAGACGTTTCCCTCCCCTACCTCCCCAGCATCCCAGCCGCCATTACTTCTCAGGCCTCTGCAGCCAGACCAGGCTGCTTTCCCAACCACTGGGGGTCTCCCGCTTGTGTGCAGGCAGCCCCCTCCCCCCACCCCTTTTCCTGGAGGTCAGCCTTTGCTCAGAGGCACAGAACGTGAGGGAGATTCTTTCCAGAAGGTGTCTGCGTTTCACTGTCGCACTGCGGGGGCGCCCCCCCATTTCAGGCTGGGAAGCGGATGGGGCGCAGGGGAGGGTAGTCAAGGCAGCAGGAGGGTCCTTTTCGGGGTCCTCCCTCCCCATCGGCCTCTCCCGCGCCGGGTCCCCTCCTCACTGGTGCCCAGGCGTCCTCACCCCCCCTCCCCCCGCTCCCGGTCCTACCCTTGTCCACCGCCACCCCTGCCCCTGGCGCGGGCAGCGCCCACCTTCGCACTGACCTGCGGGGCCCGGGCAGGCCTGCGCCTCCTCGGGCTCGCCGAAGCCCGCTCGCCCCCGCCCGCCGCCCGGGCAGCTCCCGAGCCGGTTCCGCGCGGGCGACGGGAGCGGACCGCACAGAGAGCGGCTGGGGCGGGCTGCCTGCCCCGCCGGCAGGTGCTGTACCTGGCGCATCGGGGCCTGGCACCTGGCGCGGCACCCTCCGGGACGCCCGTGTCTCGGGTGTGCCGGCCGAGCACAGGCTGGTACCCGGCTTGGCCCGGTGCGCTGGGCAACTGAGCCCCGCAGCCGCTTCCAGACAGACTCGCGTCCCTAGAGCCCAGGTGGTGGTGCCCGCCCGGAAGCCGAGCAGCCTCCTGGAGTGGTGGGCCTGGGCCTCTGCTCCTCTCAGTCCGCGGGTTCGGCTCTCCCTGGGTGATGTCTGTGCATTTCCCTCTAAGCACAGAGGATTCCCAAACCTACCTCTCTGGGCTGTTCCTTCCCGGAAACTCAGTCCCTCTTTGCCAACTGTGTATTAAGCATCCCTCCCCAAATATCCCTGAGGCACCTTAAAATCCATATTCCCCAAACTGATTTCATCTAATTTCTTCTACTCTTCCCCCTTCACCTCTCTCTATACTTGAAACTTACACTCCAATACTTGGCCTGTTCTCATCTAATGTCAGACAGCTAAAAAGAAAAAAAAAAGTATTAAATCTTTTTAAAATATGGACTACATATGCACAAATTCATTATAACCCTTGCTTTATAACACACTTTTTTAATTGACCCCTGCTTCTCATACTTTCTTCCCTTCCCTTTCTTTTTAGTCATTTGTAAAACGCCCCCAACTAAAGAACTAGGAAATTACCAATATAATACCTTCTACATTGTAAACTTTCACACAAACACACACGTATACACACACAGTGTATGAGTGTATAAATATGGTCAACCACTATTTCTACTTTGATTTGCAAAATACCACACCCTGTTTATACAGTTATGGATCCTATGTGTGACACGACATCTTGTGACCAGCACACTCGTATTTCTGACCCATATGGTCCTTCATTTCATAAAATATTTTTCTTCTACAGTCTTCTACTCCTCTAAAAAGTGTATTCACCCTATCACCACATAAATAATTTAATTCTCAGTGAAGAATTGTTTTAAACTGAATTCACAATGCCATTCATAGCAATGCTATATTTGATCAGTATAAACTTCCCCAAAATTATTACTATTGTTTTTTTTTTTATAGAGGCATGTTTTATTTATTTGTTTGTTTGTTTGTTTGTTTGTTTTGCTTATACATGCACTGGGTACAGTCAGAAGCGCGGGAGGGTGAGAGAATTCACCAGAGCCAGAGCGGGGAGCAGAGCAGGCAGGACTGAAGTACACTGCTGAGGGGAGCAGCGGGCGGCAGGAGAGGTCTGCGCACCATGTGGGACCCTCCTCCGGTGGCCGGGGAGCAGCCGGGGATCGAACCGGCGCCGCAGAGGCCGCGGGCAGCTTCGCAACCCAGCGGCTCAACCGCTGCGCACCGGGGAGGCACTTACTATTGTTTTTACATGAATTTGATGAAAGTAATAGCAAATCACTGTTGGTTTTAACCAATTTTCTGTTTAGTCATCAGATGATGCTGGTTTTAAGCTATTATCAATAATTTTTGGTATGTTCTTTTGCTAAGAGTCAACATATTAACAGTATCACTTGTAGGATCTTGAAATTCAACATTGTGTAATTAAATTAGAAGAAAAATTATTTGATCTAATATCCCTTCTGAGAGTGGGAAGCCAACAAGATGTCTGCATCTGTATGTACTAAATTGACATATGCAATTGACACACAATTGCAAATATTTTTTTTTCCAGCAGGCCTTTTTAAATTTTAAATATTTATTGAACATTTACTACGTTTCACCATTCTAGGCATTCAGCAGGTATTTAAATGTTGGTTTTTCTAAGGTCAATAATATCACTACAGTCCCCTTGGTGCACAGTAAATGCCAGCACACATTTCACTCAAGTTAAATGTTTATCATCAAGTTGCTTAGGAAAAAAAAATTTGTTACTTTATTTTCCATTCACTATGCACTTTCTGTTTCTTATTGAAAAATTAAAGAATAAATACAGCCACAGATTTACAGCGTATAATAAATGATGAAATCACTGTACCAACAATGTTCATTTTCCACAGCAAGAAAATTCAACCTTTATTTTCCTCATACACTCACTTATCCTATATTTTGCCATGCTAAACACATATAATCAGTAGAGTCAGCAGTATCAAATTTTCTTCACTACCACTTAAGGCAAAAAAGGGCTAGCTCTCTAGCCACCCCTGCATGATGAGTCCACTTCGTTTTAATAGTGAGCAACCTGCATGTTTTCTTTGAAAGGGATATGTTGAGCTTGTTAATTAGGAAAGGGATTTTGCAAATGTGATTAAATTAAAGATTTTGATATAGGGAGAATATACTGAATTTTGACTGGAGTGTCTGAGAACATAACAAAACCCTACAAATATTCGTTGAAATAATGAACCTATTTATCAGTGAAGAGCTCTTATAACTAAATAGCAAAATGGACAAAAATTGTAAACCGTGCATGAAGAAATGCAGGTGGTCAATAACTACAAGAAAAACTAACTAGCTGGTAATTTAAAGAATTCAAATAAAACCTTCTAACTGACCTTTTATTACTTAGCATTTGACAATAATTCAGTATATAAACAACCAAAACAATGGGAAAAATTTCACGGAAGAAAAAATTTTAAACTTTATCTGCATAAATGCTGAGAGAGAGATTCAATGATTACATTTCAATAAAAATCAAGGAAATACAAACACTCCTATTAGAAATGAATCTAAACATTCTGATGACAACAGTTATAGAGGTGAGTTGAAGAAATTAGAATTCTCATACACTCTTTGAGATAGCTTAGATTATTGAGTCAACACCTAGGGAAATTATCTTGCATGTGTACAAAAGCAGGCAAGTAAGGGTATATTCACTCACTGTAGCATTGCCTGAAATAGAAAACAAAAAAGGATAAAATAAACATTTTTACTATCGATATCTATTTAGAATATATGTATATATGCATCTATATACATATATAATTTCTGTTTTTAAATTTAAATCATCATATGATTTATATTTCACACAACATGCATTCTTTTCTATATTAAGTTTATATATTTTATGTTGTATATGGTTTATATATTTATAAATGTATGACATGTATATTTCTATTTATAGAAATATTTATAAAAAGAAATCACCCTGAGGGCCTCCCTGGTGGCGCAGCGGTTGAGCGCTGGGTTGCGAAGCTGCCCGCAGCCTCTGCAGAGCCGGTTCGATCCCCGGCTGCTCCCGGGCCACCGGAGGAGGGTCCCACATGGCGCGCAGACCTCTCCTGCCGCCCGCTGCTCCCCTCAGCAGTGTACTTCGGTCCTTCTGCCTGCTCTGCTCCCCGCTCTGGCTCTGGTGAATTCTCGCCCTCCCGTGCTTCTGACTGTATGTACCCAGTGCTTATATAAATAAATAAATAAATCTAAAAAAAAAAAAAAAAAAGTTCAGTCTATAAAAAAAAAAAGAAAGAAATCTTTAAAAAAAAAAAAAAAAGAGGGCCTCCCCGGTGGCGCAGCGGTTGAGCGCTGGGTTGCGAACCTGCCCGCGGCCTCTGCGGTGCGGTTCGATCCCCGGCTGCTCCCCGGCCACCGGAGGAGGGTCCCGCATGGCGCGCAGACCTCTCCTGCCGCCCGCTGCTCCCCTCAGCAGTGTACTTCGGTCCCTCTGCCTGTTCTGCTCCCTGCTCTGGCTCTGGTGAATTCTCTCACCCTCCCACGCTTCTGACTGTACCCAGTGCATGTGTAAAAACAAAAAAAAAAACAAACAAATAAATAAATAAATTAACATGCCTCTATAAAAAAAAAAAAAAAAAAAAAAAAAAGAAGAAATCACCCTGAAAGGTCCTCTCTGGTGGTGCAAGGGGTTAAGCACTGCTCTGTGAAGCAATTCACAGCCTCTGCAGCACTAGTTCGATCCC